GTTCTTTTCAATTACGAGCAACCAAGAACCCTTGGCAATAAATCAACGGTGAGAAGTCGAGAATTCAGAATTGTTGCACAGACTCCTGAAAGCCTCTCTTTGGTTCCATCAGTCATCTGGTCTCTATGAAACGGGAAAGAGGTGCTGGGAGATCATCGTTGTTCATCTAAAACAGAAGTTACAGTTTACGATTAAAAGTCAATCGAAAATGTTCTTAGAATCTATAAATAGTTGCTACAACTTTTTGATAAAATTGATTCTAATAGAATATACAGATATTTAACGAAACATAATGGTGGTAATTTGGAATATAAATAAATAAATTTTATTTTGCTTTCGGTTTAACACGTTGACTTCCAGAATTCAATTACGAAATCTGACTTCAAACACCAAACTTATAATAGACAACATAGGCAATAAAAACTGCTTCCACACTAAAAGTATACCGTCCTAGGTATGACGATAAACTACATCCGCATCCTGGGTAAGACCATAGACTACATCCAACAGCAAGGCCTCTGATCATGAGGTTTTGTGGAGCGAGGAAGCACCTCTTAATTGCTGGTGCTCCCAGGTCCACCTTGACCCAGGGATTGTAGCACCTGTTAGGGTTCTAGGTATGGGTAAATAATTTACCCCCATATTTGGGTCAAAGTGTTATGAAAGTGAAAAAATTAGTTGGTATTATTAAAGTGTAAAAATACCAGCAATACATTTTTGTAAAAAAATATTACCATCAATGAATTTTAAAGGAATAAATACCATCAATACATTATTACCAGCCATTCATTTCTCTAAATAATTATTACTAGTTATTATTAGATAATAAAATAATTAAAGAATAATATTAAAACTAATAATAAATAATAAAATAATGAAACAAATAAATAAATAATTATTACCAATTATTATTTGTTAACCCCTAAACTGAGCTCAGATTATTATGAAAGTGTAAAAAATAGGTTTTAATATCAGAAATATTTTTTGTAAAATATTATTATTACCAGCAACATATTTTTCGAAAAAAAAATGTATTACCAGCAATAAAAAATTTTAGGCATTAAATAATCCATTGAGTTTGATATGTCGTAAAACAAAGCAAACCAAACCTAAAAGTATAACGACGAATAAACTCGTTGTTGGCATCAGTAGAGGAAAATGTATCAGAAAGTTACAGCCATGAGATAACTTGAAGTCGGCGTCAACATAACGTTTTTTGATATATATATATATATATATATATATATATATATATATATATATATATATATATATATATATATATATAATTTTGGAGATATTTCATCAAACTGTCAGTTTCATACAACGATATTTTTTCAGATCAATGATTAAAAAAGATGAGTATATGAACCCAGCAGGACCATCGTTCTTTGAACCTCATAGATTTGAACCAGAGAATCACAAGGAACTGTATCAAATGAAAGATTCCACATCAAAAATGTATATCACATGTAACTCGGAGAAAACATAAACACTACTTCGAACAAAACACTACTTAAATAGCTGATATTTAATTTTAGGAACGTATTTTACTGACAACTTGTTTTAAATGAACGATTTTGCAGATATAAAATGGCGGCACCACCGGCTGCCTGGTCAATGAATGACGAATATATTCACATGAGGAAACGGTTAATATAACCAATAACATGACATTTTGATTGATTCATTAATTTTCTCTGTCTTATCAATCCTGTGCAGGTTAATTAAAGCTAGAAAATATTTTAGCTTAAAAGAATGATATTTTTGAAGTCTTACTATTTAGCCCATATCTCTGGGGAGAAAAGTTGGATGTGCACATTTCCCAAGGGTATTTTCACGTAAGTTGATATAACAAACCCAACGTGAATTAGAAGTTGGCCATTGATTATCAATTCTGATTCGTTATCCTTTACTGTTGTAGAGTAGTTTTCACAGTGGAGGCTTGTATTTCGCTAAGTCGGTTCTAAAAGGGTCCGATGTACGAAACGTTAGGAACTTGCAATAATAATTAATGACGCAGCAATCTAGTTGTGATGGTTGATACTTCAATGTCCGACATCGACTGACTCACTTAACACCACTGAGCCCAACTGGCGACCGCTACTACTACTACTACAACTTATTATGTGTGGGAGAGTCTATTACAATAGAATAGGTAATGTTCTGGTATAACATTTACACCACTCGCACATCGAGGCTTACAATCACCTGGTACTCCCAATCGGTCACCCATGTAGGTACTGACCGGGCTCGGCGTTGCTTAATTTCGGTGATTTTACTCGAACCGGGGTTTTACCGTAAGCACTCATTAACGTTTGACCTAAATGTATTTACGCAGTTTTTGAATATTCCAGTATCAAAGTACACATGCATCGCCCAGTGGATAAAAGCGTTGGTTGAGCAATCTAAAAAGTAACTTAACCCAAAGAATTGTGAGTTCAACTTCTGACCACAGCAGAAGAAACAAAAACTTGGATAGTTGAGTTAATGATTAACTGATACTGCGATGACAAGGCACGTTAGAATAATATACTCCCGTAAGCTAAATAAACGGTTCACTGTATAGCACTTGAAGGTCGGAGCATTCATCGGCCGAAAATATCGCGAATATGGCAATAAAGATGAGCCCGAACGGTGTCAATAGTTAACTCATATCAGAAATATAGGCATATATATTTTATCTGTTTATTTTGCTGTGTGTGTGTGTATGAGTGAGTGAGTGAGTGAGTGATTTTGGGGGCTTGTATATGAATATATATACAACGTATTGTTGTAACGTTTGAATAAGCAATCACCTGGGGTCCAGGAACGGATTAATTCTTTTTACATCGATTTCTATAGGGAAAATACATTCGGTATACGAACATTTTGGGTTGCGAACGAACTAAATTCGTAAACCAAGGTTCAGCTTTATGTTGTTCATGGCGCACGGTCATATTGGTTTTATTTTATTTATTTATTTTTTTTGCGACGTTTCGACCACGACGCTATTGATTCCTGTAATTCAAATATACACTAACCTTGAGAACAAATCAAAAAGATGGCCTCTAGGTACCACTTAGTATCTTTCTAATGTGTGCTTTTTTTTCTGTTTTAACATCTGACGTCTTTGTGAAAGAATTTCCCAAAAAAAGGAAATTTATTTTTTAAGATATTTATTTGCAACTCTCTTAAATCCGAGTATCTTTTCGCACTAACAATTTCAATCAAAAGATTTTTACCAGAAATTTATCCACTAAGTTATCTTTAGGAAACAACAGTTTTTTTTTGCTTTTATTTTTGTAAGACTTACCTACAAAATTAGTTTTTTAGACTGATTTGATTATTTATACAATCGTCTTATTTTTTCTGCTATTAATCGGGCTTACGTAATATCACTGAAATTAAACAACGTCTGTATCTAGATAGGTGACAGCTTGTGAACAGGATGTGCTGTAAACGTGTTATAAGGTTTTTGTATTTTACAGAACCAGGCCTAAAATAATTGCATTCCGATACGAGAAAATAATTTCGTGGCAAATCGAATAAAAAAAAATATGAGAAAGAACTCGTAATGAGTTTCATGCCTTGAATACGCTTCTTCCAATAAAGATTTGGTTTTATATTTTCTAATGTTTCAACTTTTTCAAATTCTTATTCCAATAATTCTTTCTTTGTCGTTCTTGTGTAGGCCACGCCATTTCTCCACAAATATTAGTGACAAAAAAAAAAAAAAAAATAAAAAACTTGAGAAAAATTTGGTGAGGAGAAAGGACAATAAAAAACTGGATCCAGAAAGACAGACGACAATGATTGATGTTGGATTAACGTTTTCGCACATCTTAGTGTTAAGAAATCAACTTAAGACTACACGTTGATATACCTGTACTCTTACGATCACCTAAGCAACATTAAGCTCAACGTCAAACACAACGTATAGGCAACGACTGTACCGAGATGGTTCACCGCTTGAAAATACTGGGTGCTGTAAGCTCGGATGTGCGGGTGGTGTCATCGATAAGGCTCGGAATGGAAATCGGAGAGCCGAGATCCAATTCCCGTCAGATTCATTATATTCCCTTACGCGCAAATACGCATGGGAAAGGTAGGAATCCACTTTTTTTCTCCGGCTCCCAATATATGGGTTTATTATTATGACTTTTATCATCTTCATAGAATATAAAAAAATATTTCCTGGCTTTAAATAACCTGCAAAAGGTAAATAAGCCGTAAAATATAAACCAATCAATCAATGCCGATATATGTTCATTGTTTTTTTCCTTTTTTTCTTTAGAGACTATTATGAGATCTTACTGTACACACATGTTCAGCTATAGTTGATTCCATTCTTTCTCTGTATTTTCTAATTTTTACATTTCTCTACATTCTTATTCCGATAATTCCTTCTCTGTCTTTCTGCTTGTCACTCCTCTTCAGTTCAAATGCTCTTTTGGCGTAGACGTTGACAGTAAAAATTATTCTCATATTTCTTTGATGAATGCAATTAACATTCATTAACAACAAGCATGGTTCACGACCGAGATGCCTATGATATACGGATTAAAAATTAGAATGGTTTATAATGCATATTAGAAAAGATGCGATAATAGAAACGAAACTCCAAGCACTATTTTACCTTTTAGACATACAAATGTCACAACCGTAAAAGCAGAGGCATCCAGAGAAATATGGCTGAACCGTATTTTTTACCTAAAAATATAACAAGGAAAAACACAAAAATTACTCTTTATGCTTTAATTGTTTGTTTCTAGCATGTCTTGGGTCGCCACCCTTATTCCCGAAGAGCACAACTGCATATATTTCTTTGTTCATTTTTTTTACCCCCTAACACGTTTGTATTCAGCTTATTTTTTTGTATCTTTTCCGCAAATATTAGTTTTCAAAATGGCCCCCGACAGCCGTCTCATGCAATGAACATTTGACATATCTCTAGCGGCTATTTCTGTCCGCAAATGTCGTGCTCGGGTCACGCTAAATATCGATTTTTCTTTCGGTCATTAACGCCAGAGGGAAAAGCAGTGGAAAAACAGGAAACGAGAGAGAGAGAGAGAGAGAGAGAGAGAGAGAGAAAGAGAGAAAGAAAAGGAGAGAGCCAGAAAGTGAGGGGGAAGGAGAGAGGAAGGAAGAGGGGGAGAAACAAAGACAAGGAAGAACAAAGAAGAAGAGGAAACTTTTGAAAAAAAAAACAAAAGAAAGAAGAGAAAAGAAAAGTAAAACAAAGAAAGAAAGAAAGAAAGGAAGAAGAAGAAGAAGAAGAAATATTAAAATAGACAGAAAAGGAAGAGAAAAGAAAAATGAACACGAAGCAGAAGAAGCATAAGATTCAAAAAGAAGAAAAGGGAAAAGAACAAGAAGCAAAAGAAGATGCAAAAAGAAACGAAAAAGAAGAAAAAAAATAAGAAGAAAAAGTAAAAGCGAAGAGAAGAAGCAAAAAAGAGGCAAAAATTAAGGAGTAATTTAAATGAATAATAAACAAAATAACAAAAAGCAAAAAAATGAAGAAGAAAATAAAAAAAAAAAAATAAAGATGAAAACATCCAAAAAACAAAAAGAACCAAAAAATTAAAAGAAAAAGTAACAGAAAAACTAGAAGGAAAAAAGCGAAAAGTAGAAAAAGGAAAGTAAATGAAAGAATGAAAAAAAAATAAAATAAAATAAAATAAAAAGCAAGCAGGAGAAGAGACTGTAAAAATTAAACCTGAAGAAGAAAAAATAAATAAAGAAAGAAAATGAAGCAACAAGAAGAAAAAGGAAACAAGCAAAGAATTAGTTGCAAAAAGAAACGAAAAAAAAAAACAAACAAAAAGAAGAAAATCAAAAAAGAATGAGAGGGATGAAAAAAAGCAAGAAGAAAAATTAAAAAGCAAAAAAAAAAAGAGATTAAGAGAAGAGGAGAAAAAAAGAAAGTAAACGTAAGAATGAGAAGGAGTTAAAAAAAAATCAATCAAAAAGAAGAAGAAGAAGAAGAATTCGTATATCGTTTAGTTTCCTTCAAAATGCCATTGGCATTCCCAATGACAAATATTTTAGCCCGAAAGCGGGTTCAAACCGTTCTATTATTTACCGGGCGTTTCTCTCCATTTGCTCTTCATAATGATAAAATAAATATAGGTAATATTCTTTCGTTCTTTTCATGTTTACAAATCTATTTGTGTCGCTCTCTCTCATGTTTTATATATGCTATATTAGAGTTGGAAAATAGACATTATTCAGGAAAGGACATAATCTATTCTTACATCTGCAATTTGGGGTTGACTGTTTGCAGACACGTCAATAGGAATTACAAAGAAACAGAATTGTATGTTAAATTTTGTGGCCTCTCACTTTGCAAAATTCAACCCAATTTTCGAAGCGCAAAGCGAAACATGTCGGAAAATCTTTAACACCTTCGGGCAATATATGCAGCATTTCAATTTTATTCATGGCATTATAAACGTCCGTATTATATTTATCTGATAGCATCGTCAATTTACAGGACGAGGCTGAAAATAATTTCACTCTAATTCCAATATAAATGGGTAATCTAATAACAAACTGGCGAACAATCTGTAACATGTTTTATTCCTCGAATACACTTCTCCAAATTAATGATGGTTAAATCGATCAAGTTAGAAATACATCTTTTTAAATCATTACAAGTCAAGCAAGCCGATGAAACCTGTAAGAGGCAATAGGTTACTGAGAGTAAAACAAAAATGAGGAAAAAAAAATCGTTTGATGAAATGATTATAAAAGAACAGGTTTCAGGGGAAAAAAAAGATGGCGATTTATGACATCAATTTTTTTTAAGATCTGAGTTAATAGGCATCAGCTTACGGTCATATCGTGTTGAAACACCAGTTCACTTACGATCACCGAAGTTAAGAAACGTCGAAATTGGTCAATAACTATATGGGTAACCGCTTGGAAATACCAGGCGCTATAAGCTTGGGTGTGCGAGTGGTGTAATGGCTAACGGCTCGAAATTAGAAATCGGAGAACCGAGTTCCAATTCTAATCTAACTCGGTTACGCGCAGTTACCATTGAGAAAAGCATGACACAACTTGTTCTCTCCCCTCACCGCTATGGGTTCATTAGTAGGATATTTATCATTATTATCTCCATAAAATATTTTCTGGTTTAAATAACGTGCAAAAAGTTGATAAGCTGAAGAAAAAAAAATCGCAAGAGTTTACTGAGTGTGATAGAAAACCAGGAAAATTTAGTGAGGAGAAAGGACAATAAAATAAACAGGTTTCAAAAAGACAGAGGCTGGTGATTAATATTGCATTTAAATTTTTGAATATCATAAGTTGACAAGAAACAGCTTACGGCCATATCGCATCGAAACACTGTTTATAAATCAATTACTGAAGTTAGCTAACGTAAATACCATTGAGAAATGTACCCTATTATCATTGGGCTTGTTCTTTCCATTATTAGTTCGCTCGACCGTTACGCCGTGCTGATACCTCATAAATAACGGACTCTTCCGTTTTGATTGCGTGGCATCAAGGAGAGAAAAAATTTGGATTCAGTGAGAAAATGAAAGGAAGGAAGGAAGGAAGGGAATATAGAACTGGCGAGAGAGAATCAGTTTAATCTGATAGGAATACGTAATACAGTTTGATCTTCTCCGAGAAGCGATTGTGCTTTCCAGCCGCCCTACGCTGGCAGTATTTGTCACAACGTCAGTATAATGCGGTTAGGCTGAGCTCGTGTACTCGCGCCAAAGAAACAAATGAGTCGTGCTATGTCTGAAGACAGCGACACAACTGAGAAATGATATGTACTTTACACACACGAGGGCCGATACTACAATTTGATCCCAGTCAAAAGGCCGATGGTATTTTTTTGTGCGACGTAGTCGCTACTGAATGTGACACATGATCGAGATTTAAAGTGAGTTTAACGAGAAATAACATGCAAAAATTGCCTAAGCCTCCCACGGCTTTTAGATTTGTAGGGACGTCTCTGGAACCGGGCAAAAAAAAAAAAAATGAGGAGGAAGAAAAACAAAAAAAGAAGGAAAAGAAGAAAAGAAAAAGAGGAATGAGAAGTACTGCCTGGGGAAATAAAATTATCCGAAACTCTCTGAACCAAAAGGCAGTGAATCCCTAGCGTCTGTGATAAAAGTGATGTTTTTCAGAAAATTCTTCAGCACAATATCGATCGAAGGAAAGCGAGTATGTTCATTACCAAGAATCCATTTACTATAAAAAAAAAATAACTTCTTTACCTGAATTAATTTTAGATTATTTTGACAAGAAATGATCGGAAGACGGGTGCTTCAGCTCTAAAGAATGTTGGCGGTTGATTGATTATTTTTACGGATTACTAACCTATTACAGGTTATTTAAAGCCAGGATATATATTGTGATTGTAAGATTTTTTTAAAGATATTAATGATTTACTGATACAAGTCCTACTAATTAACCTATAGCTGGAGGAAGAGGAGGTGGATCCATGCCTTTTCCAAGGGTATTTGCCCATATGTGAATGTCGACTATCCATTACACCGCCCGCACATCCATCCTTACCCTAACCCTCGGTATTCTCAATCACCTATCTAGGTAGTGACCAGGGTCGATATTGTTTAACTTCTTTGTATGAGAACAGGTGTTTCAACTTCTTATGGTCATAAGTGCGCACTTTCTTCTGAACTTCAGGGTAAGAGATAGTAATATATCGTGTTTTAGAAATACATCTATTAGGTTATATATGTCAAAATATAATCAGGACTGCCTTCCAGTTAGAAGACCTATTTTTCCCCTTTTTTACATAATGCCTAGAATGAAGTTAATTTCCTCAACTTCGCAGACAATGTTAAAAGTATATGAGCCAATGGATTATCAAATTTCGCCACACCATATTTATATAGATTTTCAGGCTAACGCTGACCAGTATAAAACAATGCAATGTCATTGCTTTGAAGAAGAAGAAGAAGAAGAAGAAGAAGAAGATGAAAAACAACAACAAAAAGAAGAAAAGAAAAAGAGGAAGGAAAAGAAGAAAGAGAAAAAGAAGAAGAGGAAGAAAAAGAAAAAGAGGAAGAAGAAAAAGAATACAGAAGAAGAAAAGAAAAAGAGGGAGAAAAAGAAGAAAAAGAAAAAAAAGAGGAAGAAGAACAAAGAAGAAGATAAAGAAGAAAAGAAAAAAGAGGAAGAAAAGGAAGAAAGAGAAAAAGAAGAAAGAAGAAAAAGAAGAAAAGAAAAAGAGGAAGAAAAAGAAAAGAAAGAGGAAGAAGAACAACAGCAAAAAGAAGAAAAGACAAAGAGGAAGAAAAGAAAAAGAGGAAGAAAAAAGAAAAAGAACAAAAATGAAGAAAGAGAAGGAAAGAAAAAGAACAACAAAGAAGATAAAGAAGAAAGGGGGAAGAAAAAGGAGACGAGGAAGAAGAAAAATAAAAAAAATAATAGGAAGAAGATTCCAGTTTCATACCAAAATGGAAGCTAGTAGCGTTATTTCTTATGAATTGAACTGCAGACGGGGCGAAACGGCTTTCTGCCACATTACGTACAATGACCGAAGTTAAGCAGCGTCGAGTCTGGTCAGAACCTAGATGGGTGACCGCTTGGGAATATGAGGTGCGGTAAGTTTGGATGTGCGATAGTGTAATGGATCTTAGTTCGGAATTGGAAATCTGAGGACCGAGTTCCAGTTCCAGTCAGGTTTATTATAATCATTTACGCTCAACTACACTTGATAAAGGCATGAATCCATCTCTCCTCCCCGTCTATGGATGAATTAGTAATACAAGTTTTACTAAAAAAAAAAAAAAAGAAAAAAAAAACATTATCATCTCAAGAAAACAAATATTGCATAGAAACTATTTAAATTTTGGCATTAAGTAACCCATAAAATAACTTCTTTACCTGAATTAATTTTAAATTATTTTGACAAGAAATGATCGGAAGACGGGTGCCTCAGCTAGAAAGAATGTTGGTGATTGATTGATTATTTTTACGGATTACTAACCTATTACAGGTTATTTAAAGCCAAGACATATATTGTGATTGTAAGAATTTATTTAAAGATATTAATCATTTACTGATACAAGTTCTACTAATTAACCCATAGCTAGAGGAAGAGGAGATGGATCCATCACTTTTCCAAGGGTATTTGCCCATATATAAATGTAACGAAGTCGACTATCCCTTACACCGCCCGCACATCCATCCTTACCCCAACCCTCGGTATTCTCAATCACCCATCTAGGTAGTGACCAGGGTCGATATTGCTTAACTTCGTTGATTGTGCGAGAACCCATATGCCGCTAAACAAAAACAAACAATCTGGGCGAAAGACGGGAGAATAAACCATCGTTCATTTTACATTTTTCTTCGAATAAAATATTAATTTCTAATCCCTGTATCCCCGAGACAATCATTAATCAGTTAAAGTGTCATTGGAGACCGAGCAACGTTAGGTAGCCTTGCAAGTTCATTTGTTTATTCGAACATAAATATGATCTATCTTTCAAAATAGCAGATAGACCTCCTAACATGCCCTGTTTCAAGGAAATGTCAATTTCCCAAACCAGAGTAATAGAAAAGTTAATCGAAGTGAAAAAATCAATCAACGACTAGATTAGATAACAATGAGTTAATGAGGCCTGTAATCGATGGCTAAAATCGCAAATTAAGCAAAAATGATTCCCTTCCATTCACTAACACTTTCACGTGCCGTCCAGTATGTCATTCTAACATAGCATAGCGTACTTGTCCAGTTGCACACAATCTTTCTGCTTGCATTAATACTGATTCTCTACATGAGACGGCTACGATATACCACTCACAACTGCCTTATTTTATGTATACTGGTTGCTAAAAATTCCCTGTATTTCTTGCAAAATTTTCCCATATATATATATATATATATATATATATATATATATATATATGTGTGTGTGTGTGCGTGTGTGTGTGTGTGTGTGCGTGTGTGTGTGTAAGTAAGTAAGTATATAGTAAAATAGGAAAGAACCGTTAAGTTAATAATCCAAAATACTTTAGTATTTTTGTTTTTACTTTTAAAACAGTGCTCGATACAACAGTAGAGCCTATATTATAATTATTGTTTTTAAATATGATTCTATCGCTACATAAAAGTTCGCATGTTTCAAAGACAGAAGCTAATACTTTCATCCTCAAGCGAATTTTTGAATAGCTAATTTTGAAATTTACGGAGCTTTATAAGCATATACATTCGTAATATTATTTTCTATGTATATGGAGAAAACTAATCGTTTTAATAAGGGGCGGTAGGGTATTCATTTTCACTGACAACTATTGTATCAACACATTAGGTACTTTAGAAAAGAGGTTTAGTCAATGTAGAGTCGGAGTGCCTTTTTCCAAACAAATGATGACACCTGTTCAACGCATATCGTTTGGATTATATCAACGATAGGAAATTTTTGGCACTTTTGTTACGCCGTTAAATGTGTATTTGTATACATTAAGATGTTTTTCTAAAAGGGTTGTTTGTATATGAATACATCGTATTGAACTAAAGTTTATTGATGACTTCTTAAAGGTTTTTTTTAGTTTGTGTTATGTTTTCAAACCTATTGCTTTAATTAAACTTGTTTATAGACTTTGAAATTTAAAATTTTTAAAGCTAATTATTTAAGGCAAATATCTGTTGGTGTCGGGGAAATCTGTTTGATTTAATAAATTTTAATTTTTTAGAAACTTAATATTGTGTATTTTTTCATGTAAGCATAAAGGGCATGGGTCATCCCAGGTTTTACAAGTTCTTGTTCTATTTATTATTTTCCATTTTACTTTTGATGTTTTAATCCTAATTGCTTTAATTTAATTTAATTTCTATGAATTAAATTGAAGATTTTAACTTCTGTTCTTGAAACATGAGAACTCATAATTTTAAAAATAATTATATATATATATATATATATATATATATATATATATATATATATATATATATATATATATATATATATATATATATATATAAAAATCAACATTGAAGTCAACACTGAGAGGCGACATATATATATATATATATATATATATATATATATATATATAAAAATATAGTTTTTAAGATGTGGGATAAAGTGCTCAGTATCAGAGAAAGAGCGTGTGTAAATATAAAAGTGAACATAAAGTCAACACTTAGAAGCGATAGTCTGCTTCAAGCTTGATGCATTCGTCAGGCTTGACGATTGCATCTAGCATGAAACAGACTGTCGCCTTCAAATGTTGACTTATGTTCACTTAAATATATATATATATATATATATATATATATATATATATATATATGTGTATGTGTATATGTGTGTATGTGTGTGTGTGTGTGTGTGTGTGTGTGTGTGTGTGTGTGTGTGTAATTATTTTTATTATTTTTATTTATTATTTTCAGATAAGGTATATCGGTAAAGGAACAAAATTAATTAAATTCGAAGGGATAGTCACATGGGAAAAACTGAGGGTCTGTCAGTTACGGGAGACGTAGTGGTCAGGTTACTCTTCAACCGTTAGAATTTATTCTTCCCTTCAAAATTTCCCTGAGGAGCAGGTTTTGGGTCCTAGTCGTATGAGTTATTACCTCCACCTTGTTGTACAGGAACTGGCTGACGTATTTAAAAACGTAATTTGGAGTGATGTCCGAGAGACCCAAAATTGTCGATACCGCACTGATGACTTCGAATCTTCTTCGATAGTCTTCCTTACACGCTCAAATATTCCTTCGTAACGAATAGCCGAACATGATCTGTCACTTTGTTGACGGCCACTTATTGAACCTTTTCTCTAAAAAAGTCTGAGAATCTCTCACACTGTAATGGCGACGATACGCTCGCTGAGTTTGGTAGAAAAATTTGGCTATTGTGTTAATTTCGAAAGCTTTCTTTTATATTTTACAGGAAAAAAAACTAAAGAAAAATTGAACAAACCAAAAGGTTAGTAAACTTTCAGACACTTTGGTAACTTTTGGAAGAGCATGTTTGTCCTGGGTATGACGATAAACCACACCCGGCAGTAAAAAAGTCGTGCTTTGTAATGTGTCCAAACCACACCATTTTTCTACGTTTGACAATAGCAAGAAGAGGTTCCGGGTGTCCCATAAAACTTTCAACCCTTTTCCACATAAACTCATTTGTTTTTTGTTCTCAATATTAAATGCCAAGGAGTTTTCTGAAGAATTTGTTGCCAAATGCTTGGATCCTTCCCTCTGTATCTGCCAACGGTGTCCATGTTTCATATCCATAAATGAGAAGAGAGACTACCAATGATTTGTACAGTCTTTACTTTGTTAGCCACTACTAAGAATCTGCAAAGATAGTTTATATACTTTCAAAATCCTATACTAACCTACAATTCTTTTGTCACTAAACAATCACAAAATAGAACGGTACATGAATAAGTTTCCATGCGGACAAACATCTTTTTAAGTAATTTAGAGATTGCTTTTGAGTATTAATTAATTGTTTACGGCTGCATCACGTTGAAATACCGGTTCCCGTACGGTCACCGAAAAATCAGTAACGCCAAACATCGCCAGTAACTAGATAGGTAACCATTTGGGAATATCAGGTTCTGTAAGCTTGTGTGTGTGTGTGTGTGTGTGTGTGTGTGTGTGTGTGTGTGTGGATAATGGCTTGAAATTGTTAAACGGAGAGCTGTGTTCAAATTCCAGTTGGGTTTGTTATATTCACACGTGCAAATAAGATATGAATCCGGTTCTTTTTTTTCCAAAACTATGGGTTAATTAGTATGGTTTGTATCACTAAGTCATTATTATATCCAATAAAATATTCTTTTTAAAAATCTTACAATTGGAAAACATTTTCTGGATTTAAATCACAAGCAAAGGGTTGATAAGCCGTAATAAACGTATCGGGAAATTGGACATTTTTAGAAGCGTGGAACCACCTAATAATTCCTGCTGCACCCCAGGTCCATTCTGACTCAGATGTTATAACATATTGGTCCAAGCTAGGGGGAAATAATGAAACTCCAATGAAACTCCAAGACAAAACCAAAGTCAAAGTATAAAAATACCAGCAATATATATTTTCATATACTAAATGGCCAACAGTACATATTTATACTAAAATGCCCAGCCATACCTTTTATAGTAGAATAACCAGCAATACATTTGATATGTAGTTGACCCCATCAAATTGTGTTCAAAATACTTACATTTCGGCATTCAATCAGTTATGTGTGATGCGTGATACACGCTGAGGCGATCATGTATCTTTCGATATATGACTGACGAGACAGATTTTTATTTCCCGCAGTAGGTTGCCATTTCTTTCTGCAGTAGACCATTCAACGCTATAGAACCCGGTCTGTCCTGCTATTTACCAATCGATTACTTTTCAGACCCTTATTTGGAGTTTATCATGAATACCTTGATATAGTAGAAACACCAGACAAGATATTGTAGCAGTACGGATGAATAATA